TGTTGAAATCTGGTTTTATCCTTGTTGGGAAGGTGGTTTGTTGATTAGTTTCTGTTTTTATGTATTTTCAGAGAGTGTGATGGTCTAGAGTTGCCTGGTAGGAAAGTTTCTATGTCCCTAATATTTCAGCTAGTTAATATGTGTTTCTTAGCATTGGGTGCTTACACTTCAGAATTGTGAGCAGCTGTGGTTCTGAAGGTGTTCACAGGAGTTAGGAAATCAGGGTATTCAACCAAGATTGGCCTATTAATCTATCCTTTTATACACTCCTTAGGAGTAGACAGCGATGAAATGCCCGACCTGCAGAGTCCGTCAACAGGGATCCTGAGAGAGGGAGTGGGAATGAAAAGGGCAAGAGACTTGAGGGATGGAGACAAGGCAGATCAAGTCTCGTTCATTAAACACACAAGCAGGGCTTAAGTTGGATAAGAGAATAAGGAATTATGGGAAGGTGGCTAGCAACCTGCAAGATTTGTTGCCAGGAAATAAGGCTGGGATTGGGCGACTCCTGGCTTAGCAGGATGTGGGGGAAGGTGGCTATCAGCCAGGCAGACTTAGGGCAGCAACAGGGGGGTCTCCTGACCACAGATATGGGCATATGCTTTATAAGGGGATAAGTAGATGTGAAGACTCGGATACTTAATTGGGTGTTAGTTCCTAAAATAGCAATAGAAGGCACAAGATGCCAATTATTATGCTATCTACATTCAAGGTCCTCTGCAGGTCTCCATTTTCTTTAATACAATTAGCGGGCCAATGGTTGGGATATCCTGGGAGGGTTGGTGCCTGTCTTAGGTCAGCGGGAATCATGGGTTAGAGTGTTGACCACCTTACTTGTCATTAGAGATGACATTGCATGATGGCCATTCCTGTCTTAGGGGCTCGTCGGGAACAAACACTCTCAGCACACCCTCTGTTGCCCATCATTGGCTACCCAGCCCTGCTCACCAAATAAGGAATGAACTCTATGATCTTGCAGATGACTTGGTCATAAGACTTATGATTAGAGTTCAAAACAGCTGTCTCTTATTTCGGCCAAAGCAAGGCAATGATAGTGCACCTGTACAGGCTGCATTTTGATAGCATCTATCTGATTCTCAATAAAGGCCATCAATTTATTAAAGAGAAAGTTCTGAGCAATAGAAGAATTAATAGGCCAAGGGGTCTAACAGGGAAAGAAGATAGGGCAGCAATCCACTCCAGGCACTCCAAATAGGTTGGTCAAATAATTCTCTTTGGCGTTTTTCAAGGTCTTCTTGATGTGTTTTGATTCAATCTCGAACAATGCTCGATTTGTTAGCACAGAAGCAGCAATTCTCTTGTAAAGTCAAGCACATGCCTTCCTTGACTGAAGTAACTAAGTCTAGATCTCTCCTATTATGTAGTACTACCTCTGCTAGAGTCTACCTGATCTTGTATATCGTGGATGGATCTACAAACAGTCTGTACATCATCAGCAATTTGTTGTAACAGTTGATAATAGGTCTTTAAGGCTACTCCCATGCCAATGGAGCCAGTGTCTAGAACTCCTGCCACACCAAGACCTACCTATAGGGGAATGAATGGAACAGCCCTCTTACATCTGGGGATGAGATAATCCATATAGGGACAGGCTTGTCCCAAGGTAAAATCTCTATCTGGGTGGAGGGTGGCCAGAACACATAGTCCTGTCCAATTGGCTGGCAGCATGGAGTATGCTACCCCATTTCTACAAATAAGAATCTGTCCTGGTCTGCCACAGAGAGCTGTGGACACATTAATCACCGAGAAAGAAGAGGTAAAGGAAACCTGGCCTACAACTATACCAAAACAATGGTTCTTAAAATATTTATAGAAGCACAAAGAATATCTAAATGCTGTAGGTTGAATTCTAAAAGGAATGCTGAGCTGACCATTACTTGTCAACAGAGAACCATTGATGGGTATCAAAGAGTCATTGAACATGGGGACTGCTCAAGACCACTGACTACCTAAAGCTAAGCACAGCCAGCAATCTTCTGCCAAACTGGGGTTGGTGACGTTTAAAGCATAGTGAGTAGCAGCTATTATCTCTGATGTATAGGGATCCACATCCACTCCTCTAGATTTGGGAAGAAATAAGGGATGATAAGCTATGTGAGGAATTAGGGGGTCAATCATAAATTGGATTTTCTCCTGGATCATGGTTTCTCTAATCTGGTCTGTGGGCCCACCATCAGAGAAATGGATGGGAGCTATTTTATTCCAACATGCTGGTTTTTCCTGGGGTGGCATGGCAGGAGGCTGTGGCATATTTGTAATTGCCAAAAACCTGGGGTCTAATAGACCAATCAACTCCAAGGTTGCCAGTGTAAGTGATTGCTGGTATGGCAGTAAAATAAGTATGACTATTATGTTTGCATTCTTGGAATGTGCTGTGTCACATGGCATTCATTTCTCTTACAAAATTGCATTCCGCAGGGCAGGGCCCTGGTTGTCCATTGAACTTTGGGATGATTTTAGCTTTGGTAATGCAGAGCCACATTTTGATTAAAGCTTGTGCCAGTATTATATACCCACAGATAGGCTGACTTATCTTCACAATCCATAGTCCTTGGAAGGATACGATTTGAAGTCAGGGCATGTAGTGTTCCCTCTATACATTCCTATTGGTTTCCATACAGGGATGCTAGCAACTTGTCTGGATTGATGGGTCCTTGATCAAACCCTTCCTCTAAATGAGACTCCAACAGCAGGACAGTCCAGAGTGTTATGTGAATCTTTGTTTCTGTAAAACAGAAAGGAATAAAATTCTTAGGAGGGACAATTCCCCCTGGAATGACTTATGTTATTATCTATTTGTTTAACTAATCTTTCAGGAAGCCATCTCAGAGATTTCATTTCTTTAGAGTATATGGATACTGATCCTCGTACCCATATTAGGACAGGATCAGGTCCATGCCTAGTGTTGTCTAAGGGGTCTTTGCAAATCACAGTGCTTAAATAAATGTGCCAGTCATAGAAAATTATTTCTTTAACATTTCCTGAGGTTGTAATTACCTCATTTTCTTTTCGCTACCTGCCCTTCAAGCCCTCCCATACAAGTCTTCCTACTCTTTTTTTAAATTCATGCAATATTTATACTAAATCTCTATACTGTTGCCTGTGTCCATGCTTTCAGGACAGACCATTTGCTGTGGAATAATGAGTTGGTGTGCTCTACACTGGGGAAGACCATTTCCCCAACTGTCAGGAGTCTTCATTTGCCTGCAGTTCTTTGTGTAGTTTTGAGTCCTTGAGGGTATTTCCCCATCTACTTTAGCATGTCTACTGTTGTTGTTCATGTTCAGCTCATGTTTAGTCTGTCATGTTGGTGTGAATTTATGGTTGTGTCTTCGGACATTCCTATAAGACCCAACCGTACAGCAAACTCCTAGTTCTTCTGGCAATTCTACTCCCTCTTCTGCAATGATCCCTAATCCTCAGGTATTTAAGACACACCTGCTATGGTTTACAAGGCTATATACCCAGAAATGAGCTCACCGTGGATTATAATTGGATTTACGGCAGTCATATAAAAGCCAGAATTCCTCAGCTTATTAGTCAGGTTTCTCTAGAATAACACAACTTTTAGTGTGTGTGTGTGTGTGTGTGTGTGTGTGTGTGTGTGTGTGTGTGTGTGTATTTGTGTGTGCCTGTATGTTTGTGTGTTTGATTTACTAGAAGACCAACAGGCTGTGGCCAACCTAATAAAACAAGGTCATATTGAGGAAGTAACACAGTCACAGAAAGATAAATGCCACATGTTTTATCTCACAGACATTTCCTTACTGAAACTCTTCAGATGTGGGTACATATCCTGGAGTAATAGCAGAGACTATTTCTGTGGTGGTTGGAAAGAAACAGAAAGAGTAGCTCATGTGACTGTGGAAATAGGAAAAGGGTGAGATCTACTTAGTGGAGTAGCAGGAGAGAAATACAGAAGGAGGAAGGAAGGTAAACAACAGTACGGATTTCTGAAAAAGTCATAAGATATTATACTTTTGATCTAAAAATAAGGCTATAGCACACAAACATATGTCTAGCTCTAAGTATACATATACTGTTTAAATGAAATTTCCTCATCTGGGCTGACCTTGTTCATTCTAAGAGCCAAAGACCACCCAATGAAATCCACAACACTAAGCATGAGAAGGCCCATTTGAGTTCAATTTCAAGGTTGTCTAAAGGCACACAAAACATACAAGAAATTGCCAATGCCCTTGGCTGTCTACTAGAAGTGGGAAGTGAGTCTCTTTTACTGAAGACACCAGGCATTTCAGAAATAGGTCCAGTAGTTCCCTGAGCTGGAACTGAATTGCAACCCTCCTCCTTGAGGGCTACATCTCAGGGTACCAGAAGGCAGCAAAGAAGAGAAGTACCCATCAATCCTCCCAGCTATTACACCTATGAATCACAACAAAGTTCTGCATGGCATGATAATACTATGGGTGCAGTAGTGGCATGGATACCTTAGCAGGCAACCAACTATTTGGACTTAACACATGCACAACCTGAGGGAAACAAGCTTGGTATTGGAACCCTAGACAACTACCATGACGACTGAAGTCATAGATCTTGGAGAACCTTTATGGGCCACTTTATTAAACCAGATAAGCCCTGACAACAATCTCTCTGGACACCTTTCTTGTGGAGAAAGATGGGTGATAGGTTTATCCAGAGAATCGTGAGGAGAAAAGAAATAAAATCCACGAGTGCCCAGTTATAGTAAGCTGTATTTGAGGATGTACACATGGCTGGCCATCTGACTGTCTCACCTAAGTGATGTTTTGAGAGAACAGCCATGACTGGCCTCTTGAAGTCCCCTTTGTAGCAGAGATAAGGTGTTTCAGGGGTGACAGACTTGGCTTTACTCATTATTAGAAAGATACAATGAAAGGGAATGAACAAGAGTAAAGACATACATCATGTTAATGGTGTTTCGTGTTTAGTGTATGTTGAAAAACATGTTTTGAAGTTTGCATCACATCTAAGAAACAGGAATGGGGCAGACTCAGGTGGTTCAGGAACTGGGAGTAGTGAAAAGTGTCTGCCCAGGCACTTCCAGGTTTTCTTCTCTCCAATCCCTCTTCTGCTTCTGCTGCTGCTCAGGAGGTCAGATCTGCCACTGATGGTAATACCAGCGCCACTCTGCCCACCTCTGCCAGGACGAGAAAGTTAAACAGCTGCAGCAGTAGCAGAAGTAACAGTGGTAACAAGAGAGAGGACTTTGATTCCACCTCTTCCTCTTCCACCCCTCTACATGCTAGAGATTCAGAGTCCCCTTAAACCTTGTCCCTCTGCCTCAGTGTTCCAGTGGCCACTTTCAGCCATGTACCGATACAGAAGAAGCTGCGTTTTGAAGACACCCTTGAGTTTGTAGAGTTTGATACGAAAATGGCTGAGGAATCCTCCTCTTCATCTTTCTCATCTTCACCAACCGCTGCAACCTCACAGCAGCAGCAGCAGCAACTTAAAAATATGAGTATATTAATTTCTTCTGTGGCTTCAGTGCACCATGCAAACAGGCTGAGCAAATCATCCACCACGGTCTCTAGCTTTGCTAACAGCAAGCCTGGCTCAGCTAAGAAGTTAGTGATCAAGAACTTTAAAGATAAGCCTAAATTACCAGAAAACTATACAGATAAGACATGGAAGAAGCTAAAAGAAGCAGTGGAAGCTATTCAGAATAGTACTTCAATTAAGTACAATTTAGAAGAACTCTACCAGGTTGTAGAAAGTCTTTGTTCTTACAAGATATCTGCAAATTTGTATAAGCAACTGAGGCAGATCTGTGAAGATCACATCAAAGGACAGATTCATCAATTCAGAGAGGATTCATTGAATAGTGTTCTCTTTCTAAAAAAGATAGATAAATGCTGGGAGAATCATTGTAGGCAAATGATAATGATCAGGAGCATTTTTGTTTGTTTGTTTCTGGACAGAACTTATGTTCTTCAGACTTCAATGCTACACTCCATTTGGGACATGGGATTAGAGTTATGTAGGGTTCATATTATAAGTGATCAAAAAGTCCAGACAAAAACAATTGATGGCATCCTTCTCTTGAGAGAGAGAGAGAGAGAGAGAGAGAGAGAGAGAGAGAGAGAAAGAGTGAAATGGTGAAGCAATTGATAGAAGTTTACTTCGAAGCCTTTTAAGTATGCTGTCTGATTTGCAAATTTACCAAGACTCTTTTGAACAACTATTTTTAGAAGAAACTAACTGGCTTTATGCAGCTGAAGGTCAAAAGTTAATGCAAGAAAGAGAGGTTCCTGAGTATCTTCATCATATTAATAAATGCCTAGAAGAAGAAGCAGACAGACTTATTACTTACTTAGATCAGACCACCCAGAAGTCACTAATTGTTTCTGTTGGAAAACAACTTCTAGGTGAACACTTAACAACAATTCTTCAGAAAGGTTTAAATAACCTCCTTTATGAAAATCGAATTCAAGATTTGTCTCTCCTGTATCAGCTCTTCAGTAGAGTTCAAGGTGAAATTCAGGTTCTCTTACAGCAATGGATTGAGTATATCAAGGCTTTTGGAAGTACCATTGTTATCAATCCTGAAATAGATAACACCATGGTTCAAGAGCTGTTGGACTTTAAGAATACAGTTGATCATATAATTGATACCTGCTTTCTGATAAATGAAAAATTTATCAATGCTATGAAAGAAGCATTTGAAACATTCATTGATAAGAGACCAAATAAACCAGCTGAACTCATAGCTAAGTATGTGGATTAAAACTTCGTGCAGGCAACAAAGAAGCTACAGATGAAGAGCTTGAGAAAATGTTGGATAAAATAATGATTATATTTAGATTTATCTATGGTAAAGATGTTTTTGAGGCCTTCTATAAGAAAGATTTAGCCAAATGCCTATTATTTGGCAAGAGTGAATCTGTAGATGCTGAAAAAATGCTGTCCAAACTGAAACATGAATGTGGAGCTGCATTCACCGGCAAACTTGAAGGGATGTTTAAAGACATGGAGCTTTCTAAAGACATCATGGTTCAGTTCAAACAGTATATGCAGAACCAGAATGTACCTGGCAATATTTAATTAACTGTGAATATCCTAACAATGGGTTACTGGCCAACATGTGAGCCTATGGAAGTCCATTTGCCACCAGAGATGGTAAAGCTTCAGGAAATTTTCAAGACATTTTACTTAGGCAAACACAGTGGCACGAAACTCCAGTGGCAGTCAACCTTGGGACACTGTGTACTAAAAGCTGAATTTAAAGAGGGCAAAAATAACTTCAGGTCTCTCTTTTTCATTTTCTTTTTCTTTTTTCAGATTTTTTATTTGAATTACAAACAAGATTGCTTTACATGACAATCCCAGTTCCCTTCTCCCTCCCATCCTCACCTACCCACCCTGCCCAACTAAAACCCTACTTATCACATATCCTTTCTTCTATTCTTCCCCTGACTCAACCTTTCTGCTCCCTCATGACCTCTTCATCCTCCCTCTTCTTCCCTTCTCATTCTTGTAGCTCTTTCCCCCCTCTTCCCGTGTTGTCAATTTGCTCAAGGGATCTTGACCATTTCCCCTTCTCCAGGGGACCATTTATGTCTCCCTTAGGGTCATCCTTATTTACTAGCTTCTCTGGCAGTGTGGATTGTAGGCTGGTAATCCTTTACTCTATGCCTAAAATCCACATATGAGTGAGTACATATCATGTTGGACTTTTTGTGATTTGGTTACCTCGCTCAGAATGGTTTCTTCTAGTTCCATTCATTTTCCTGCAAATTTCAGGTAGTACTCCATTGTGAAAATGTACCATATTTTCGATATCCATTCTTGGGTTGAAGGGCATCTAGCCTGGTTCCAGTTGCTGGCTATTATGAATAGTGCTGCTATGAACATAGTTGACCAGATGTCCTTATTGCATGAATGTGTTTAAGTTGGGTGTATACCTAACAGTGGAATTGCTGGATCTTGTGGTAGACTCATTCCCATTTTCTGGAGGAATTGCCATACTGATTTCCAAAGTGGTTGTACAAGTTGGCACTCCCACTAGCAGTGGAGAAGGGTTAACCTTTCTCCATATCCTCTGTAGCATAAACTGTCACTGGTGTTTTTGATTTTGGCCATTCTGACAGGAGTAAGATGGTATCTCAGTATTGTTTTTATTTGCATTTCCCTGATGACTAAGGATGTTGAGAACTTTCTTATGTGTCTTTCAGCCATTTTAGATTCCTCTATTGAGAATTGTGTATTTAGTTCTGTACCCCACTTTTTAATTGGATTATTTTGTGTTTTGGAGACTAGCTTCTTGAGTTCTTTGTATATTGTGGAGATTAGCTCTCTGTCAGATGTCAGATATGGGGTTGGTGAATAACTTTTCCCAGTCTGTGGGCTGCCGTTTTGTCTTGCTGACTGTGTTCTTTGCCTTACAGAAGCTTCTTTATCAATTTTTGATCTCATTGTCTGTGCTACTGTTTAAAGTTCAGGATGAAGTCTCCTGTACCAATAAATTCAATGGTATTTCCCACTTTGTCTTCCGGTTAGTGTGGTTAGTGTGGCCGGATTTATGTTGAGATCTTTGATTCATTTTGACTTAAGTTTTGTGCAAGGTGGTAGGCTTGGGTCTAACTGCAGTCTTCTACATGTCTGCAACCAGTTATGCCAGCAACATTTGTTGAAGATATTCTCTTTGTTCCATCATATAAATTTGGGTTGTTTGTCAAAAATCAGGTGTTCATTGGTGTGTAGGTTAATATCAGGGTTTTGAACTCTATTCCATTGGTCTACCAGTCTATTTTTGTGCCATACCAAGCTGTTTTCAGGATGATAGCTTTGTAGTAGAGCTTGAATTCAGGGATGGTGATGCCTCCAGAAGTTCCTTTATTGTACAGGGTTGTGTTGGATATCCTGGGTCTTTTGTTTCTCTGTATTAAGTTGAGAATTATTCTTTCAAGGCTTGTGAAGAATTGTGTTGGGATTTTGATGGGGATTGCACTGAATATGTAGATTGCTTTTGGCCAGATTGCCATTTTTACTATGTTGATCCTACCTATCCAAGAGCATGGGAGATCTTTCCATTTTCAGGTATCTTCTTTAATTTCTTTCTTTAGAGAGTCAAAATTCTTATGGTACAGGTCTTTCACTTTTTTGGTTAGTGTTACTCCAAGGTATTTTATGTTGTTTGTGGCAATTGTATAGTGTGATGTTTCCCTGATTTATTTCTCCACCAATGTGTCATCATTATATAGTAGGGCTACAGATTTTTTTGAGTTAATCTTGCATCCTGCCAATTTGCTGAAGGTGTCTATCAGTTATAGGAGTTCCCTGGTTGAGTTTTTCAGGTCACTTATGTAGACTATCATATCGTCTGCAAATAGTAAGACTTTGACTTCTTCCTTTCCGATTTGCATTCCCTTGATCTGCTTTTCTTTTCTTCTTGCCTAGAACTTCAAGGACAATATTGAAGAGGTATGGAGAGAGTGGACAGCCTTGTGTTGTCCCTGATTTTAGAGAAATTGGATCGAGTTTCTCTCCATTTAATTTGATGTTGGTTGTCTGCTTATTGTATAGTGCTTTTATTATGTTGAGGTATGTTCCTGTTATCCCCAATTTCTCAAAGACCTTTATCAAGAAGGGGTGTTGGCTACACCAGTAGCACAGACACTGAGGTCTGCAATTTATAAATGGGACCTCCTGAAACTGAGAAGCTTCTGCAAGGCAAAGGAAACAGTAAGTAGGATAAAACGATCACCCACAGAATGGGAAAAGATCTTCACTGATCCCACATCTGACAGAGGACTGATCTCCAAAATATATAAGGAGCTCAAGAAGCTAGCCACCAAAACACCAAACAATGAAATTAAAAAGTGGGGTGCAGAACTAAATAGGGAATTCTCAACAGAGGAATCTGAAATGGCTGAAAGACACTTAAGAAAGTGCTCAAAATCCTTGGCCATCAGAGAAATGCAACTCAAAACAACTCTGAGATACCTCCTCATCCCTGTCACAATGGCTAAAATAAAAAATCCCAATGACAATCTATGCTGGATAAGATGTGGAGAAGAAGGGACACTCCTCCATTGCTGGTGGGAGTGTGAACTTGTAAGACCACTTTGGAAATCAGTATGGCGGTTGCTCAGAAAAATGGGAATCAATCTACCTCAAGATCCAGCCATTCCTCTCTTGGGTATATACCCAAATACTGCTTGTCCATACAACAAGGACATATGTTCAACCATGTTCATAGCAGCATTGTTTGTAATAGCCAGAACCTGGAAACAACCTAGATGCCCCTCAACTGAAGAATGGAAAGAGAAAATGTGGTACATTT